GCAACCCTCTGGCTTTCCCAGTGAGCCTGATTAGCTCTGAATAGGTGACTTGGGTGAATTTCCATATCTAAAGACTACATAGTAGAAAGCTTGAGTGGTTATTTAGAAACTGAATAGAAGGCTCTGTGAGATAAAGGGGTAAGATTGGGGTTTTCCTCCATCTGGCAGTGAGAGACACTTTGCAGTAACAGCCATTTGTTTTTATTAATCAGCCAGTTTAATGACTTCTGACTTCAAGAGGAATTTCTCACCCTGGTGCAGTACTTGCTTGTCAGGGCCTCAGTGCCTTATGAGGCTGAGGCAATCCAATTGTAAACTGAAGGTTGTTTAGAATAATCTGAGATCAGGGACAAAGAGACTCCAACACATCCGCAGCCAGGTAGATTACCCACGTGATGTGGTAGACCTCTCCTGACCTACCCACTGCTCCCCTCAGCAGTGTGTTTCAGTATAGCTTTAGCTGTTCTGCTCCCCACTCTGTCTCTGGTGAATAATCTCACCCCCCTCACCTCTAACCTGTACCCCAATTCTGGGTGTATAAATTAATTTTTTAAAAAATCTGTAGCAATGTGTTTGTTTGTAAGCCATGAAAAAGTTCCCTCAATGGAGTGTTTCAAAAATTCTGAATACCATATGGCTCCTGAGAGGAAAAGGCAGAAAGGAGGGACGGACTGAAAGGAACGGGCGGAAAGGAGGGACGAACGCCGTGAGTCTGTTCACCAGGAAGCCAAATTTTATTCCAGAGCTGAGCTTATATGTACATCAGGGGCATCAGGGGTGGTGTGTCGTGTGCCCCATTGGCCGGGTTGCGATCAGGTGAGGGAGCCAGGTGGGACGGAAGAGTAGCCAAGGGAAAAGGGCCAATGGATGGGATGGACTGGGCCCATGGCCATATATGGTGGTGAGGTGAGGACAGGCGTAGCGAAGGCATGGGCGGTGTCCTTCACGGACGCCATGAGTCTGCTCACCAGGAAGCAGAATTTTATTTTAGAGCTGAGCTTATATATGTACATCAAAGGTGGTGTGTCGAGTGTCCATTGGCCGGACCATGGTCAGGTGGGAGGGTCAGGCGGGAAGTGTGACGGGAGAGTAGCCGAGAGGGAAAAAAGACCAATTGGTGGGATGGACTGGGCCCATGGCCATACATGGCGGTGAGGTGAGGCCAGGCGCCGTTTGGGCGTGGGCGGTATCCTTCATTCCCCTCTCTTTGTTTTTGGGAAAAGGGCGTCGATCAATCTGGCTACTTCCATATGTGTTTTGAAAAAATAGTTATTTGTGTGGGGGTAAGGTTATAGAAGGTTCCTTGGAGCCATAGGTCTGCGACGATGTCGTTCCACCGTTCTTGGGGCATGATAACAACCGGGTCAGGTAGTAACCAGCTATCTGAGATAAGGGTGGTGATGAAGATGTGCCATGGAGTAGGAGTTTCCTCAAAGTTGGCTATATGCCTGAGTGCCGACATGGTCGGTGATATGGGGCTGGTAATGACGGTATAGTCTGAAAGAGCTGTTGTGAATTTTTTTTGTCGTGTTTTGTGGTGTGTGGGGTGTGGGTTTTGTTGTGCGTGTGACTATACGGGGGCCTGTTGTTGTGAGGTGTGAGGATTATTAGTGGTCTGCCAGGGCAGATAATAAAGTGGTCAACCATGGAGAATGATTGAACAGTGACTCAAACCAATTCTTCCCAGCTTCTCTCTCTCTCTTGCTGCGTTCTAGGCCTTCCCTAAGTTTGGCCATAGAGTCGTGAACCACTCCCGGGTGATCAGCATAGAAGCAACATTCCTCCCCCAGTGCGGCATAGAGTTCCCCATTTTTGAGAAAGAGTTAAGGGGGTCTGTGGGGTGGGGAATTACTTGGTATACAGGAGTGTCAGTGTCAACGTGAGAATCGGGTTTGGTCTGTGGGTCAGAGGGTGCCGGCTTGAGCCTAGAGATGTGAATCCAGGGTGACAGTTGCGTGTTTGAGAGGGAGATTTCAGCAGCAGTTGGCGTACAGAGGACCACTGGGAAAGGCCCTTTCCATACAGGGCTGAGAGGCGGTCTTTCTTAGGGTGGTCTTGAAGATCCCCAAATGATGGGGTATCTCCCCGCAGAGACCCCCGGCGGCCGAAGCAACAGTCAGAGTCTCTGGATGCAAAAGCAAGAGGCAGTTTATTCACGAACGCTCGAGGGCGCACCAGTCATCGGTAACTGAGTGCGCCCCTTCTGTCTTTTTGGGGGCCTTTTATCCCTCGCGCAAAAGCGGTGATACAGAAGCAGATGCCTAGTTACAGGGTTTCTATTGGCTCGTAGGATGGGGTGAGGGGAGGAGGTGAACAGTCAGAGTCATTTGTGTTCCTCTAGGAGGGGTTGACGCAACCAACTGTGAGCAAACGGTCACGTTTCGGTTGGCCTTGTCCGGAACATCTGGTTGTTTTCCTGCTGGCGCAGGCCGATACGAGCTACCGACCACAGGCATCCTGTTTTGCGATAGCAGGGGTGGGGTGTGGGGCCCTGTCCTTGGAGATACACTTAGTTTTGTAAAAATAGCGTTACAGTGGCTAAGCCTCCTTCAGCTGGCCTCCCTCAGCTGGGTTTTACAGTCTGTAAAAGACAAGTTGTCCCGGTGCAGAGACAGGGAATTAGACACATTGACCGGGTCGGGCAAGAGCCAGTCTTGGTGTTTCCAGAGCTCTTGGCGCAGATGTAAAAGTAAGGGCAGGGTGGCGACGGAAGGGATGGTAGACTGGTTGGATGCCTGGGGACGAAAGGCCTGCCACACATTATTTCCGAAGGGGACAGTAGGGTAGGCTTTTTTGGGAGTGCTCGGACCCGGAGTAGGGCCAAGGGCAGAAGGCGTGTCCAGTCAAGGTGAAGGTCCACGGTGAGTTTGGTGAGCATGTTTTTGAGTGTTCTGTTAGCCCGCTCGACTTTACCCGAGGCTTGGGGACGGTATGGGCAATGGAAATGCCAGGGGAGGGGAAGGTTGGTTGACAAGAAGTGTATTATGTGAGCGGTAAATTCTGGACCGTTCTCAGACTGAAAAGAGGAGGGCAAGCCAAAACGGGGAATGATGTGAGTAAGGATGATGTGAGCCACGGTGGAGGCCCTCTTGTTGGAGGTAGGAAATGCCTCAATCCATCCAGTAAAGGTGTCAACCATTACTAAGAGACATTTGGTTTTACGTACCGGGGGCATGTTGGTAAAATCCATTTGCCAGTCCTCAGCTGGGGCGTGACCAGCTTGATGGGAAGGGTATGGCTTAGGTTTGAGGGGAGTGTTGGGGTTAGTGCGCTGGCAGACAGAACAGGTTTTGGAGATGTCCGATAATTGGGTTTTGCCTTTGGGTGACAGGGGAAAGAAGGCATCGAGGAAGTGGGTTAGGGATTGTGGGCTGGAGTGGAATAGATCGTGAATGAGAGTCAGAAAAGACCCGGAGTTAATGTCGGAATCAGTGTCGGTGTTGGAGTTAACGTCGGTGGTTGTATCAGTGTCCTGACTGCTGTCCTCAGTGTCGGTTAGGATGGCAATGTTTATGGGTGGTAAAGCCGAGAGGGCTGCCTGTTCGGCTGTCTGGTCAGCCGTCTGTTTGCCCTTGGAAATGGGGGAGTCATCGTGTTGATGAGCCTTGCAGTGTACTATCCCCAGTTTGGAGGGCAGTCGTGCGGCTTCCAGAAGGTTGGTGATAAGGGAGGCGTTAGTAATGGCACACCCTCTGGTTGTTAGGAGGCCCTGTTCCCGCCATATAGCAGCGTGGGATAACAGGATGTGAAAGACATATTTGGAGTCTGTGTATAGAGTGAGAGTCTGCCAGGGTACAGGCCCGTGTCACCGCTATAAGTTCGGCCTGTTGGTTCGTTGTGCCCCGGGGTAAGGGTCGGGCCTCAATGACTTTTGTTGTGGAAACAATGGCATACCCCGCCAAAGTGGCCTTGTCCCTTTTAAAGGAAGAGCCATCAGTAAACCAGACCAGTCAGCCTGTGGAAGGGACCCTCTGAAATGGTTGTCGGACAGGGAAGGAAGGATTCTAGAGCCACGAGGCAATTATGTGTCGGGGTGTCATTCTGTTGGTCTGTGAATGGAAAAAATGTAGCTGGGTTTAAGGGGGCGCAGGGCGCGAAGGTGATATCCGGGTGTTCGAGAAAGGAGGCTAACAGAGCCAGTAAGCGTGAAGGGGGACGAGTTTGGAGTCCCTTGTAAGACAAGAGATCTTTGGGATGGTGAGATGAGAGAATTGTGAGGTGAGCCCCAAATGTCAGCTTGTGGGCTTCCTTGTGGAGGAGCTGAGCCGCAGCTAGCACACGGAGGCATGGGGCCGAACCCCTGACCGTCGGGTCGAGTTGTTTTGATAGATAAGCAACGGGCGCAAAGGAGGGGCCATACACCTGTCCCAGGACGCCTAGGGCCTGACCCGAAGTTTCGTGTGCACATAATGAGAAGGGGCGACTGAGGTCTGTCTGGGAGGTGGAGGGCTGGCGCCCGGAGTAAGCCTGTTGAAGACGCCGGAAGGCGTGTTGGGGAGATGCCTCTAGTGGCTCATCTGAAGCCCCCTTGGCCAGATCATAGAGAGGTTTTGCTAGTAGGGAATAACAGGGGATTCACGCTCAAATACCCCGCTAGGCCAAGAAAGGATAAAATGTCAGCTTTAGACCTCGGAACAGGGAGGGCGCGGAGGGCCTGTTTTCGAGCCACAGTAATGGCCTTGTGGTGTGGGGTGAGTAAGAACCCCAGGTAGGTTACGGATGAGGAGGCAATTTGGGCTTTGGCAGGCGAAACCCGATAGCCTTTTGTGGCCAAGAGATTGAGGAGGGAGGCAGTATCCAGCATAGACAGAGCCTCAGATGGACTGCAGAGGAGGAGGTCATCAACATATTGGAGGAGAGTGGATGAGGGGTGGTGGGAGCGGAAGGATAGGAGGTCTTTAGCCAGAGCCTGGCCAAAAAGATGAGGGCTGTCCTGGATGCCTTGGGGAAGTACAGTCCACGTAAATTGTTGGGATTGACGGGAGTGTGGGTTGGTCCAGGTGAAGGCAAATACATCTTGGGAGGAGAGATCCAATGGGATAGAAAAGAAGGCGTCCTTATCAAGGACCGTAAAGTGGGTGGTGTTGTAGGGAATAGAAGAGAGAAGAGTATAGGGATTGGGAACGAGGGGGTGTATAGGGATGACGGCTGTGTGGAGATCCTGGACCAGGTGGTAAGCCCCGGAGGACTTTTTAACCGCGAGGATGGGAGTGTTAAAGGGCGAGTTGGTCTTGACCAGGTGGCCTTGGATAAGAGATCTTGTATTGATGGGGAGGAGGCCCAAGAGGGCCTGAGTGGATAGTGGGTATTGTGGTTGACTAATGTATCGGGAGGGGTCCCGAAGTCGGATATGGACCGGGGTGCAAAGGGATTTGGCAGGCGGAAGATGTGTCCCATACTATAGGATTGATGGGATGGGGGAGTTTGGGGATGTGAGGAGTGTCAGGGGAGGGAGGGAATAATGCCAGAAGGAAGGAGGTGTGAGGGTAGTTGTGGAGTGCCAAAGTTATAGAGGCCTGGATTTTTGAAAGAATGTCCCGGCCCAGAAGGGGCACAGGACACTGAGGCATGACAAGGAAAGGGTGTGAAAAAGAGTGTGGGGGATCCTGGAAGGCACATGTGAGTGAGTGGTGGTGTTTGGGACGGATAAAGCTGCTTGCCCCCTACCCCGACAATAGGAGTGGCAGATGACGTGGTAGGGCCCCAATATTCCCCAGGACTGAAAAGGTAGTGCCAGTATCCAGTAGGAAGGAAATGGTGCGACCATCCACTGTTGAGTGATCGGGAACGGTTGCCCAAGGCCTCGTCAATCCTCCTGGAGAGCCATGGCCATAGGCGGGGTGTCACCCCTTCGGGAGAGGGGGCATTCTGAACCCCAATGGCCAGGCCTTTTGCACTTAGGGCAGGGCTTGGTTGGAGGCTTAGGAGTAGGGCAATATTTGGACCAGTGTCCCTCCTGACCACATTTAAAACAGAGCCCTGGCAGCTGGGGGGGGGGTCATGGAGGAGGATTTGGTGTGAGGTTTGTTTTGTGGCTTGATGAGTTGGGCTGACATCTGGAAGTTAGCTTGGTTAGCCTCCTTTTTACGGCGCTCTTTTTCCTCCTCCCTGCCATGAAAAACCTTAAAAGCCGCCGTGAGGATTTCAGCCTGAGGGGTTGCACGGCCGTGCTCCAGTTTTTTTAGTTTAGCCTTAATGTTGAAGATCCCAAAAGAGTGGAGATCTCCCTGCAGAGACCCCCGGAGACCGAATCAACAGTCAGAGTCTCTGGATGCAAAAGCAAGAGGTAGTTTATTCACGAACGCTCGCGGGCGCTGCAGTCAACGGTAACTGAGTACTGAGCGCACCCCTCTGTTCTTTCGAGGGCTTTTTATCCCTAGCACAGAAGCAATCGTACAGAAGCAGATGCATAGTTACAGGGTTTCTATTGGCTCACAGGATGGGGTGACGGAGGGTGAGTCAGAGTTGCTTGTTCCGTTTTGAAGGGGGCTGACGCCAGCCGTTAACGAGCCTGATAACCGCAAGCTTCGGTTTGGGTGGTCTTATCCGGAACATCTGGCTTTCTTTTGGCTGACGCAGGCTGATACGGGCTATTGACCACAGGCATCCTGTTTTGCAGGGGTGGGGTGCTGGGTCCTGTTCCTGAGGGTGTACTTAAGTTTTGTTAAAATGGCAGTACAATGGCTAAGCCTCCCTCAGCTGGGTTTTACAATGTCAGGGTAGCACTGGGCCAAGAAATAGGTCATGAGAACGGTTTGGCCTTCGTTGGACTCTCGATCAAGGTTGGTGTATTGGCGTAGAGCCTGGGTCAAACGTTCGAGAAATTCAGTGGGGGTCTCGTCCTTTTTCTGGATAATGTCCTGGACCTTTTGGAAGTTAGTAACTTTGCGAGCAGCCATTTTAAGGCCAGCCACTAAACAGGTTGCAAAAAGGTCTCGGAGATGTAGGTCATTTCTGGAGTTATAATCCCAATGTGGGTCTCGCTCAGGAACTGCATCGAGACCTGAAGGGTGCTGGGCATTTAGTCTGTGTTGTTCAGTGTCGTGTGTCTGGGCATGTTGCCATACCCGCCACTTTTCCTCAGGGAGGAAGATGTCGTGGTAAGTGAGACTATAGGCTTGAAGTACCCACTGGAATTCTCTAATGTAAGTGGTGGGGTCAGAAGCAAAAGATCCGAGATGTCTTTCGAGTTGAGAAAGATCAGACAGTGCCGCGTC